AAAAAAAATGCTGTGTTAAGCCGGGCATTGATGGAGAAATTTTCTTTCCTGCAGCCACAAGTTTCCCCATCAACACAGTCAGTGTTGATGGTGGAACCCCTCCCTTGGAGCCATTGTGTTCTTCCTTAGGGGGAGCCAGGGGTGGACTGATCATTTGGAAACTTGGACACTGCCCGAGGGCCCGGGGTCAGTAGGGGGCCCCATGAGATGCCCCTGGTACCTTTTTCATAGGCTTTTTTGAGTTTGGGCAAGGACACAGGGGCCCCATGATCCCTATATGCCCGGGGGCCCCATGAGTTGTCAGTCCGCCCCTGGGGAGAGCAGTCCCTGCCGGGAGAACACAGTGATTACTGCTAGCAGCTATATTAGCCGCTAGAAATAATTGCATGTAAAATCTGACAGGCTGGTTCAGAGGCGGACTGACCATTCGAGCACTTGGGCACTGCCCGAGGGCCCGGGGTCAGAAGGGGGCCCCATGAAATGCCCCTGATACCTTTTTTTATAGGCTTTTTTGAGTGTGGGCAAGGATACAGACGCCCCATGATCCCCTAGTGCCCGGGGGGCCCCATGAGTTGTCAGTCCACCCCTGGGCTGGTTGTACAATCAATCAATCAACTTGGGTACATTCAGCTTGTCCAAACATGGTTCAGTTCTCATCCAGCCCATGCTGAACTGGCTGAGATTCAAACCGTCTATGGCCGGCTTTAATGCTATTGACAGTCCACATCATATAGGATTAGAGAGTCAATTAAATCCCTTTAAAGCTGAGATATTTTATTTGCAATCATCGAATTTGCAGAACACCAAAATCAATGTGATGCTAAACCCACAACAGTAAAAATCAGTCTGTATATGCAGTAAAGCATGCTTGTTATACTCAGTGTGGAACCTAAGGGGTTAATCCTCTGCATTGTGTAAAACGGTTGTTTGATCCTGTCTTCTCTGATTCTCCCATTTTTCTACCATCCCCAATCCATCTGCTGATAGTACAGAGCTCTAGGAGTCACTCTGCACATGTTCAGTTTAGTGTGTATGGCTAGAGAGGGTTTTTTTTTCTTTGGTAGAGTGCATGTGATCAGCACAGGGCCAACCAGCACTGTCCATACAGAGGGTTAGAGGTTTTGCAGCCTCATGGGACAGTCAGAGGAGAATGAAAACTCCTCCTACAAGATTTAACCAGTGCTCAGCTGGACACTGATAGAAGTCACAGAACTGCTGTAAGTGCTGATGAGAAAAGGTATTTAGCAGTTTATATTTACTAAAATAATTGCATTTCCATGTTCTCTTTACTGTGGGAGACCAGATATAGTGAATGTAGGGTCCTGGGTTTAGTAAGTCTTTAATGAGATAACATTTAAAGACTAGATAATTCTAGCTGTTGCAAATAAACGAAATCACCAGATTAGCTTGAGTCTAAAGCCTAGTACGCTCCGCCTGTGTGTACAGCGGCTAGCCCGACAGAAGTTGGTGGTTCAGCAGGCTTCTGTCAAAGGGGCATGATGGAAAAAGGTTCGATCAGCATCCATTTAGCGCTTCCAGGCAATGGCTATGAGCGCTGACCGGTCTGTTGTGGCAGGGGGGCTGTCCCCCTGTCAGAACACAATAGCTTAGATCACTGTACTAACATCAGATTGTTAGTACAGCGCCTGCTCCTGAGCTCTGCAGCTTTTATTCGTTCGTTGAACAAAAAAAAAAACTGCTAGTGTGTAACAAGCTTAGGGCAAGCCATACATTATGCAATATTCTTTTTTTTTGGTGTTTGGCATTCCTGGATGTCACAGAGAAAAATGGTCATTTATTGATTTTAGCATCATTTTCTGCAGCATTATCCTGTAAGTTTAGGCTGAAATGATGACAAGGAGTGTACCTTTGACAGATGGGGTACACAAGGAGTAGGTGGAATGGTGATAGCTGTCATTCAACTTGGAAGAGAATTCTCAGCAAGACACTGTAGCAGGGGGTCTGAATGGGACAGTGCCAGTGAAAAGTACTGAAGCAAAAGCTCAAAACTAGCAAGAATGGCGTAAAAACTAATAATACTTCAGATTATGCCCTTAAACTAAAAGTATGAGAAGTACAGTAATGAATAAAAGCACTTGTCATTACTGCAGCACCTCACTTTGGTAAATACCACTAATGCAAAAAAAAAATGTGGAAAAGAAGGAAAGGGGGCACCACCCTCTAAGTGTAGGTATAATGATAAAAAGATAAAAACATGCACAAATGCACTCACTGTGGTAAAGGAATAACCTACATATCAGACAGCTCAGATCCTGTTAGTCCTTCCCATATAATACTGTGACTGTTGCGGATGTGTATAGGCCAATAATAGGCTGCAGAGTTCATCAGGAAAATGGTCAGGTGGAGCAGAGTGGAGCAGAGAAGCGACCTGGATGGACAGACTGCAGCCAGCAAAGAGACCTTTTGGACAACGACAAGCATTGCAATGCAGGGCTCAGTGAGTGCATTTGTGGGTGTTTTTAGCTTTTTATCAATATATCTACACTTAGATGGTGGTGCCCTCTCTCTTTCTTTTCCATTTGTTCTGCAGCAAAAGCTGCTTTTTGTATATAACTGTTTGCCATCCTCTTTTTATATATAAATGGACAGATGGTGTACTTAGAACTAAAAATGGGACTACATTTTAAAGCTTCATTTTTTAAAGTGCTTCATTGGACAGTGTAATTGCCAAACAAAAGACAGAGAGCCAGTGATATTGACTCTGTATTGCGTGATAGCAGTGACCAATCTACGCACCATAGAAGAAGATTGGCTGCAGGTGTCAGCGGCTGTCCGTGAGCTCCTGGACACCGCACTGCTGAAGTGGAGTATAATTCAGCTTTAATCCTGTCACTTACCATATCCTTCAGAATTGCGCAAGAACCCTTTCATCCCCATCTTCCCATTGTACGTGACCTGTACAGTATACTGACTCTTTCAACTCATGATCCCTCTCTCTATGACCTGTAGTTGTATCTAGTGCACCATTACCAAACTTCATGTTTTATGGCCGGTTCACGCTATGCCCTGATCTGAATCGCACAGAAACTTGCTGTGAACTCCAGTGCGATTCATATGCGGGTCTATGCGGTGCGATTTAATGCCCATTCATTTGAATGGGATGAAATCGCATGGCACCTCTCTAAAGTAGTGCATTCACATTTTTAAATGCACGGCAACCGCATCACATTGTACTTTGTACCATGCAGACTTGGGTCAGGCAAACGCAATGTGTTTGCGACCTGCGTTCAGGGTGTCATTGACTTTAACTGACCCCTGCAGCAGATCGGGAAGTCGCACAGAAACCTTTCTCTCCCACACCGCATTCTAGTGTGAACAATCTAAACTCCTTCAAAACTGATACGTTTTTTAATTTAAAAAACACTGGGGGAAAAAATCAAACCACCTTTCACCTTTATTTTGAAGATGTATGTACTGTCCTGGCATTTTTATTTGCAATGCTTTAGCCAAAAGTAAGAGAAACAGTTCTTTTTTTTAATTTTTTGCCTTTTTTCCTTTATATAATAAGAAATAAAAACATTTTTTTTGTTAAATACCACCCAAAAGGATATAAAATTCATTCTGGGTACATTGTTGCATGACGGAGTATTTGTCAGTCAAATTATAAGTATGCTAAAAAAATGGCCTGGACAGGAAGGAGGTGTAACACAATGGTCCTCAGGTGGTTAAATAAAGTTGGAGTTCTGTTTTAAACCCCTTCTGTTACATGATGTAACAACATTTTCCCAATGCTGACAGATTACTGATTCACTATAAGTAGCTTAATATAAATTTCAGTGTTGGAGACAAGCCATTCTTTATCAAATGTTTACTGTGCCGGCGTGAGTCACATGTGTGTGCGTGTATGAAAGAAAGAAAGAAAGAAAGAGAAAGAACGATACACAAGACACATATACCTATAATTTTCTTAACATAAACACACATGCACAGCCATAGTCACATCAGCTGATAATTAATCAGATAAAGTCTGTGTTGGATAAGGACAAGTTGCCATGGGGATCAGGCTGATTAATCACATGGGACAGCTTTTTGGGACAATGGGCCTATTCAATGAGACTTTCCTCCCTATTTGAAATCCCTTTACATGGACAGGACTTAGGTAACATCTAAAGTGGGCTGCAACAATGCCAGCTTTCCTCCTGATGTACTCTGAGCTTTCCAGTAATTCGTTCTAGAAAAAGTAACAAATCACCATCTTTGTACCCACAAATAAAGGCACTGTGTCCGTGTGCGCAGACGGGAGGACCCCGTAATGCTGCCACTCTGTTATGGTTCAACTGGATTACAATACATGGTAATAGCCGCAATGGGATCATTTTATCCACCCTTCCAAACATTCTGTGTGATACAAAGCAGAAATCTATCCCACTAGACACATAAATCAGCATAACACTAATAGCACATCTTTATAATGTGGTTCTTACAGTATAGAAAGCCCCACCGTGACTATATCAATGCATTAACTTGTGTGTTCTATCATTTTATTCATTAGAAACGCATATATGGCATATTCTACATTGGCCATCAAAGCTCTCATAATAAAATAGATGCATTCACATATAAACCTTCATTAATAAAATCAATATGACTATGCTGAAATATGTGTATGCTCATCCAAAGCTCCTATCCACTGTGTCCAGTATACAAAATGCGGCAGAATTAGAGTTACAATGCCTGGCTCTCACACAGTTCAATCCCTCCATTAATACCCACAGCAGGACATAACTTGGTCGGTGCCAGCACACACTAAACCATCTATTTTTATACAAAGCTCGGAAATCTTGCCAGCCACCTTTTCAGGCTGTCAGTCATTCTTAGTCACAGCATGGCACATTGTAAGTGCTATAAGCCCGTATTACGTATTCTGGAGATCTTAGCAGAGTTGGGTGAATTACCTGTTCAGAGCGAGAAGACCGACGCCATTCTTGTACCAACATCACAGGGTACATCAAGCTAAGCACGGCCAGGCAGCAGATTTGCGGCAAGGTTGACAATAGGGAGTAATATCTGTAGTACTAGAGGATAGCCCAAAAAAATATATTAATGTATAATTTGTAGCGGGTTTTAAATATACACTATATATATAGCGGGTAAAGAAAAGTATTGAACACTTCACCATTCTAAAGGAGCTATTGACATGAAATTTTCATCACGTCAGTAACAACCCATGCAATCCATACATACAAAGTACGAAAACAAATAAGTTCATAAATTATGTGTAATAAAATGGAATGACACAGGGGAAAAGTTTGAACACGCTAACTGACATTTTTTTAATGCTTGGTACGAAATCCTTTGTTGGTAATGGCAGCTTTATATGCCGCCTGCATGAAGAAATGAGTCACATGCATTGCTCAGGTGTGATTTTTGCCCATTCTTCCACATAGTCTTCAAATCTTGGAGGTTTTGTGGGCTTCTTCTATGAAATCTGAACTTTAGTTCTTTCCATAGATTTTCTGTTAGATTCAAGTCAGGTGATTGGCTGGACCATTCTAGCAGTTTTATTTCTTTCTTTGAAACCAATTGAGAGTTTCCTTGGCTTTGTGTTTGGCATCATTGTCTTGCTGAAATTTCCACCTTTGTTTCATCTTCATCATCCTGGTAGATGGCAGCAGATTTTTATCAAGAGTGTCTTGATACGTTTTTCCATTCATCCTTCCTTCAATGACATGAAGTTTGCCAGTGCTGCATGCTGAAAAACAGCCCCATACCATGATGTTCCCACCTCCAAACTTCACTGTTGGTATGCTGTTTTTGGGTTGATGTGCAGTGCCATTTGACCTCCAAACATGGTGTGTATTATGGCATCAAAAGAGTTCAACTTTGGTCTCATCTGACCAGACTATATTCTCCTAGTATTTCACTGACTTGTCTAATTGTTGTGCCTCACCCTTTAAACAAGCTTCAACATACTTTTTTTTCAGCAATGGAGTCTTGCATGGTGAGCGTGCATACAGGCCATGGTGATTGAGTGCATTATTTATTGTTTTCTTTGAAACAATTGTACCTGCTAATTCCAGGTCTTTCAGAAGCTCTCCACAAGTGGTCCGTGGCTCCTGGACAAATATTCTAATAATTCTTTTCACTCCTCTGTGAGAAATCTTGCAAGGAGCACCTGATCATGGCTGGTTTTATGGGGAAATTATGTTCTTTCCACTTCCAGATTATGGCCCCAACAGTGCTCACTAGAACATTCAGAAGTTGAGAAATGCTTCTGTAACCAATGCCATCAGTATGTTTAGCAACAATAAGGTTGCAAAGGTCTTGAGAGAGCTCTTTGCTTTGACCCATCATGAGATGTTTCTTGTGGGACACCTTGGTAATGAGACACCTTTTTATAGGCCATCAGTTGCAACTGATCGCTTCTCGGCCTTTTGGCTAAGATCAAGTGTAGTATCGACCTTGCCTTTAGGGGTGTCCCTGCTTCCAGCTAGGACGTTGAGAACCACTTGCATCTATCCCAGCCATTTGGTCTGTGTGGGGTACCCTCTACTCGGCCTGGTAGGATCGTCGATTAAATTCGGCTTCACCTGCTTGCTGCTAATGGGTTTGAGGCTTAGCCCCCACACAGAACGAGTTTGTGATCTTCCCCCCCCCTTGTTCACTCTGCGTTACTACCTCCGGGCAGTAGACGCTCAATAGCCTTTTCAAAGGCTAAGCAAGAGTGAAGCCGCCGAGGAAGAAGAAGGAGAAGGAATCCGCTGAAGATCTCTGGGAAGCCCTCCTGAGAACTCCTCTGCGACAAGATGGGGAAGAGTAAGCAAACCGCGAAGAAGCCACTGACCGCCACCGCCGCCCCCTGCCAAGACCCTGGGAGAAGCCCCTCCTCCACCTCCACCTCAGAACGCTCCGGCCCTGCAGAAGGTCTCCCCCCTCTGGAGCCCTGGATGAAGCAGACAGTCATGCTGCGGCTGAAAGAGGTGGAAGGCAGAATCCCGGACATGACCCCGGAAGTCTTTGGCAAGAAGATGATCCTGGAACAAGGATTTAGCAAGGCAGAGACCCTGTCCGTGCAATCCTTCATGAAAGGTATTTTCTTCGTAACTTTTGTATCATTACAGGTATGCAGAAGGTACTGGGAGACAGTGAAGACCTCTGGGCCCGACTCCCTTTTCCGCAAGTTTATTGCGAATTCTCCCATTCAAAGGGACGAAAGGCGGATCACGGTATCCATGAGGAACCCTCACGTCCCTGGAAGAGACATCGCCACCTATCTCCAAAGGTTTTGCGTCGTGTTGAAGGACCCAGTCCGGATACTAGACGCCAACGGCTTCTGGACAGGTAAGTGGTCTGTGTTTTGCAGATTGCTGAGAGATCGTCCCGCTGGAGATCTCCAACACCTGCAACAGTGCTTTTCCCTGGGAGTGTCAGCAGGACTCCTACATTACCCGGATCAACCCCAGTCATGCCGCAGGTGCGGACAGCCGGGGCACGAGGGTAAGGATTGCCATGTGCTTTCATGTAGGTTCTGCCGGTCTGCAGGTCACGAGACCAAGGATTGCCCGAGGTCCAAAACCTGCAACCTCTGTGGACGGTCAGAGCACGTCTACAGGGACTGCCCAGAGAGAAGCAGGACGTACGCTGGGGCCCTGAGCAAGGGCCCTGCTGCCAAACCAGCGCCACAAGAAGTCTCAGAAGGACCCAGGTAAGAGGAACCCCCCCTCCCCCCACCCCACCCCCCCCCCCCGGACCCGGTCCCCCCCCCCCTGGCCCTCCTGCCCCCCCCCCCCCGCCCCTGGCCCTCCTGCCCCTGCCCCTCCCGCCCCTGGCCCTCCCGCCCCTGGCCCCCCCGCCCCTTGCCCCCCCCCCCACCCCTCCCGGGCCCGGTTTCCACCCCCCCCTGACCTGTCCTCACAGGAGGATTTCCTGCCCCTTCCCCCTGCCACCCCCGTCAGCAGCTCTGCGGCGGGGGATCAGGAAGCGGAAGAAGGAGCAGGCTAGCCCGGCGGCGGAGGACTCCTCCTCTGCCACCAAACGGCCTGCTGTCCTCCAGGAGGCTGCAGGTCCTGACCCCGTGGGGGAGGACCTCGACACACTGGAGGAAGAGGAAGAGGTGGAAGAAGAGATGGCTCTGACCCGGTCGGGGCCAGATCTCTCCACCGACTTCGATGAGGTCCTCAACGAGGTCCTCAACCAGATCGGACTGAGCCAGGACCATGGCCAGGCCGCAGAGGTCGCCCCCCTCCCCAGGGGAGGTAAGCACAGCCCCTGCCGACTAACCCCTTCATCTCTTTCCCATGATGGCTGAGATCTCTATCTTCTCCATTAATGTGAGGAGCATCAAGGATGTGTCTAGGAGGCAGACTGTGCTGACCTTTCTTTCCACACAGCAGAGTGATGTCTACATGCTTCAGGAGTGCGCACTTCCCCCTCTGAGGAGGTACACTCATTTGTCCTCCCAGTGGACCCACGGTCCCTCCTACTGGTCTGGGGGGTGGCGATTGCAAGTCCGCAGGGAGTAGCGGTTCTTATCAGGGGAGGACACTTCACTGTTGACTCCGTCCATGAACTCATCTGTGGCCGCCTTCTGGTCATAGACGGTTCGTGGGCGGGGGGGCCCGTTAGGCTCATCAACGTGTACGCCTCCCCGGAGAAGAATGCGCGGCTGGAACTTTTCCAAACCCTGCGGACGCAACTCGTCACAACGAGAACAGTAGTAATCGGCGGTGATTTTAACTGTCCGATAGAGGAGGATGGGCACAGCTCCAGCATGTACGCAAAACTCGACGCCACCTCGAAGCTGCTCCGGGAGGTGATTGCGGAGGCTTCCCTGCAGGACGCAGTGGGATCCGTGGGGCGCGGTTCCGTGAACTACTCATGGAGCCGCCCCGACGGATCTGTGTGTGTTCCAGGATTGACTTTGTGCTCACCTCCAGGGCAGTCAGGCACCGCGGGTTCTCCATGGTTCCCTGCTTTTTTCTCTGACCACAGGGCCATTCACTTTCAAGGCGATCTGGGAGAGGGGCTTTGCCCCGGCCCAGGCTCCTGGAAGCTGAATTGCACCCTGCTGGACGATGAGGAACTGCTAGAGGAGCTCAGGGAAACCTACGGTGCCTGTCGAGAGGATAAGTCTTTCTTTCCCAAGGTAAGCGACTGGTGGGAGTTCGTGAAAGTCAAGCTGCGCAGCTTCTTTCAGGCCAGGGGACGCCAGCAAGTGTGTGCCAGGAGGAGGGAACTCAGGAGGCTGAATCAGCTGCAGTCCCTGCAGGACCTTCATCACTGTGGCTGGGACGTGAGGCAAGACCTGGAGGACACCAAGAAGAGCTTGAAAAAGCACTTTGAGGAAGAATCCAGGCACATTGTCTTCCGTGCCAAGGTGGAGCATCTAGAGAAAGGTGAGAAGTGTAACTCTTTCTTTTTCAGGAAACTCCACTCAGGACACACACCCCTGTCTAAGCTGCGCGACAAGACTGGAACACTCCAGAAGGGGAAGGAGGCCGTGTGATGGAAGTGGTCAGTGACTACTACTCCGACCTCTACTCCCCCAAAGAAACAAACACGGAAGCGGTCGACAGGTTCTTGTCAGGTATCTCTAACGCTATTGATCCTGCAGGTTTGTCGGACACCAACGCCCCCTTGACGTTGGAGGAGCTACACTCTGCCGCTAAATCCTTTAGGCGGGGCAGGACCCCGGGCTGCGACGGTCTCCCAGCAGAGTTCTATGTAGCGCTGTGGGACCTCGTGGGCCCGGACCTGCTCGAGCTGTACGAGGAGATGGTGGTGGAGGGCAAGATGCCTCCTTCGTTGAGGGAAGGGATGATCACGATCCTGTACAAGCGTAAGGGGGAGAGATGTGACTTGAAAAATTGGCGTCCCATCTCTCTCCTGAACGTGGACTACAAGATCCTCACCAAAGTCATGGCGAACAGGCTGAAGGCTGTCATCGGACAGATCATCCACCCGGATCAAACTTGTGGCATTCCTAGCCGCAGGATTGCGGACAGCCTAGCGCTTGTCCGGGGGGACACGGTCCAATACATCAAGGACCGCCGTGTGCACGTGGCCCTGGTCAGTC